ATTCCTGGACAAGTTTCCACCTAAGCAAGAATTAAGTGCACATGCCCTGTTGATAGTGAGCTCAGCCCATCTCTGATGTTTTTCACACACTTAGCAATCTCAGCCGAGATTGTTCCAAGGTTCCCTTAACTGGGTCAAATAACAAAAGAAACACCAAACAAGAAGCAAATATAATCCTCCCCCATACCCCCCCAAGAATGACTCCACAAAATCCTGTATCATCAAAAAGGAAAATAAACCGAAATCACCCTATCACCTTCATTGTGAACTAGATTACACTGGGGAAAAAAAAATGTTCCCATCAAGTAAGAAACACAGACATTGTTTCAATGTAACATGAAAAAACATACATGTGGAAAAACAAGAGCTTGCTCTCTCAGCAGAGGCAAGGCCATCTCAGCCACAATCACTGTTCTGAGGACAGTTCACAAATGGACAAATACAGGCTACCATACTTTTCTTCCATAAAAATCCCTGCCCCAAAGAGATGGAAGCCACTTTAAAGAGGAAAAAAAAAAAAAAAAAAACAAAAACCCACCACACACACACAAAAAAAAACCACCTATGAACAACCAACCAGGTCCTATCAGAGCATATTCTCACAAGATGCCTGAAAAAACTCCAAGTATCTGAGTGGGAAGGACAGAAAAAAGAACATCTAATGTCTAGCATCTACCTGTCTGTAGTTACATTTTTCCATAAATCAGGACAAGCAAAAATGAAGGAGGAGATGGAACCAGATGAGAAAGATCAGAAACTTCCAAGCTGAGTCTTCTGACAGTTGAAGACTGAGATTAAAGAGGTAACAAAAGTAAATCTGATTTCTTCCCGTTTCTTGTAAGGTCAAGAGTGCCAAGATTACCACTGGCACAGTAACAGCTGGAGAAGACCATTTTAGATCACCTGATAAGTGAAAAATTTTAAACAATCTCTTCTCAGAGGCTGCAGCAAAAACCCCCAAGACAACAGAGGAGCTGTAGAATTCAAGAAGTGAAAATCAATTGTTTTCATTCTTCAAATAGATCTAATCCCTCACAAGGTAAATTCCAAATAGCAGCATAAAGGAAACTCCAGGTCTGTCACAGCAAAGACAAAAAGGCTTTCATTTTCAATTTCTCTTCTAACATTGCTGAGTAGCAAAGGACAATACACTTCCAAAATGACTGCAGAGAAAAATAAACATGTAGTAATCCATAGACATAGTGATAAAAGCGTTTCTATTGCAATAGGCTTTAAAGCTTGGACGATTAAGAACTCTGAAGAGCAAAGACCCTGAAAACGAGCTGATAATCCTGGTTTGCCTTGCTTGTGGAGCCTCTACTCATTTATTTTTCTTTGGAATGGAAAGGGAAATGCATGGCTAGTAATAGCTGAGGGACCAGAAGCCAAGTATTGAGTACTTCAAATTCCAGCTGAGAGACAAGGAGAAAAAAAAATCCCCAATATGCAAATGTTACTGTAACTAACCTAAAAATAAGAGATGGAAGACTACAGAAAGAAATGCAGTGGCTTCCAAAACAAAGATTAACATTCCTTTTGCTGTCCTTCCTTCCGTATCCTCTGTGTTGGTGTTTGTCAAAATGCTTTCAAGGCCAGCCTGAGTCCAAAGATCCACAGCAGGAGCTAACATTTGGAAGCCAGCACTTCACCAAATACGTTCAATATCAGTTACCAGAAGCAGAGATGAAAATCCTGGAGCAGATGTGTCTGCTCAAGTCTTAGAAACAGAGAGAACAGATACACCTCACCTCTTTCCTGCATGGTAAAAGGAGAATTAGGACCTTGTGGGCACTCAAAATTAGGTAACCTGTATGATTCATAGGGCATGTTTACCCACAGAGGGAAAAAAATCCCAAAACGCTACATATCCTTACAGTCATGAGGGTCTGTGGCAAGACACCCACACGTAGAATACAGACTATAACATTACAATAAAGATGTAATATTTTAATCACACAGCAATGGTAGAACATTGCTGTGTAAGCACCAAGGCATTCAGGACAGCAGATCTTCATTAGCAGAAATAAAATGGTATCACTAGAACATAAAGTACATTTATTTTAAATAGCTGTCTCCCTGGCTACACAATCCTTAAATACAGACAGGAGGAATTAATTCTTTTATCCCCCACCCAACCCTTTTTTCCTTTGTCTAGTAGGAATCAGAAAAATACTTAAAGCAAAATGTTTAACTCCAGTAGACTCCACTGTAATTTATTCATATTATCCGTGTGGATCCATTAATATACACTTGCAACCTCATCTCTTAAAAGTAACCGGGTCACTTCTTGTTTTATTTTTAAAATTATTTTTAACTTCGCATGTAAACAGTAACTTAAGAGCATGTTTTCATAGTTTAAAAAAAGACAGTGAAAGAAAGCTCAGTGTCAACAACAGGACTCTGAAACATCCCACATTAATAGCTCAAAGTTGTGTTAAGATATACCCTCTCGAAATGAAACTCTGAAGGAAAGTTTGCACAAATGCATTCAACACAGACAAACATTTTCATTTTCATCTTGCACTGTACCTTGTCATATTTGCTACTGGAACCAAAGCCAAAAATCAGAAGGTGACCGTGAGAATCAGTACATGCAAAATGCTGTCCATCAGGAGAGCACTTGCAGTCAAAAACTGCCCCATGTCCTTGTCCTTCAATCTGAAATACATCAACATACAAAGTAATTAAGTTACCAGAAATAAATAATTTTCAATTACGCTTCTCAAAAGTGTGGTGCTGATGTTGAAATTTCTTATAAAATCTGTAAGACAGTATACTGCTAGATGGAAGTTACTTTAAAACGTGCTTTACTTTTTAGCTATTCACTTCTCAGTGAATTTTGCAATAATGCTCATGAAAGATGCCAAATTGATAGTAGTAGAAACTGACAGACTTTATCCACAAAGCAGGCACAGTACAGGAAGTGAAAATACAAGCTTCCCCTTGAACGTCCTGCTCATGAGCCTAACCAGAGAGCTGGGTCCAGTTCAGGGCTTAGTCACTACACCCTTTCCATCCTCTGCCTTTTTGCTAAGCTAGCCCAGTAGCACTGGCTGCTGCGGTGTTTCGGAACACCTGCCCGCTAGAAAACGCGCTGACAGACAACCCACATTACACAACTTGGCAACTGCCTGGTTCTGGAGTTCCTACTCCTAATTTATTGGAGTGGGGGAGGTGTAGACTGGTGTAAAAACTCCACTGTTTAAAGGAGAACTGCAAAGATTTTAAAAAAGGAATTTTTACCTGATACTCATTTTCTGTTTTCCAGTTCCATTAAGCCAGAACAAATGGGTTTTTGTTTTTCCCTGCAACCTGTCAATCAAGCAGAGGTGACCAATCACCACTCTGAATTTTCAAGTCTTCAGCACCTCTTTAGAAAGCCCCTTTCTATTCTCCCCAGCAAAGCACTTTTGCATTTCTTTAAAGAGACACCAAACAAAATTCTTTCCCTAACTGTGGCAGGCCTATTTACTGCCAGAAAAACCAAGGGTATTTGGCCTGCAGGCAGTAACATGGTGCCCTTCTGCAGCATCTACCAGAGGCCATCAGCATTATTTTAGAAAGTAATGAACCAAGCCTCAAAAACCCTGGGAGGTAGGCACTGTTCTCGCTATCTTACAGGCTAAGAAAGACTGGGAGTCCAAATCTTTCACCCGTGGTCTTACAACACATCCACACCCACACCCCTGCACACCCCCCAGTGGTAGAGGCTGCTAAACCTGTTACCAGGGCTTTCAAGTACTCCAGGGAAGTCTTCCTCACTACAAGCACTTTCCGTAAAAGTCAAATGAGTTTCTGGACTAGCAAAAAAGGAACATAAACCAATGCAAGTTTTATGTTCTGTTTTGCCCATTATTCCAGAAAAAAATATGAACAGAAGTATCCTATAGAAAGAGACAGGAGATAAAAAGAGCTTTGAGTGACACTAACATCACAACGGTTAAGAATGCAGAATTAATTTAGGCTAAGCAAGATCAATGAGGGCAAAGTTACAACTTTGTGCTCCTTTTTGTACATAGAAAGCTCACCATATTAAAGGGAGACAGTTTGGGGAGGTAGGTGGAAAGGGGACGGAACTTCAGCCCAAGATTAAGCTTTGCAGACAGTAAAAACCTGGAAAAGGAGTACTTACATAAAGATTTCTGTTCCCTTTCCTTTTCTCCAACAAAGGAAACAGCATCAAAATGTCAAGCTTCCTAACACTCAAGTCCTTCATAAATAGAATTTCAATGTTGTTGTGGGAAGAACTATTTGTTTATCATGGTGAGGGGAAAAATAAGAAACAGAAGGGAAAAAAAGTCAGGCTATTAAGGTGACGTGTTTTTACAATCCTTCCAGAAATGGCTTGGATGGACCATTTTCAAGTAACACTGGGAATTAAGAGTGTTAATTGGAAGCCATTCCCTTCTTATGTACAGGAAAAGAAGTGATCTACTATTCAGTGATTAGCACAGTGCAAACAGTTTTACTCTAAATGTAGCCAGAATCTGGTTTAAGAAATGCCTTTGGAAAGGACAGCAGTAAGACCACTTGGTACAACTCAAGTCTGATGTATGATTACTTAAAATATTAAGGATTCTCAAGGACAAAAATTACTGTTGGGGATAAGCTTCCAAGATATAATTACTATTACAAATTAAAGAGCAAAGCCTGCCAGAGTGTGTTACTCAGAATTTTTTTAAAACAAAAATACTTTGGGATTAATAAATGGCACTTTGCAATGTTGTTTCTTCAATAACAAAGCTAACACAGAGGAGCTGGGCCATTTGAAACAGAAACCAAATGTTAAGTTGCACAAGCGGAAGTCGTAGTAAATCAGTGAAGGTCTGACTTCAGCAAGCAAGAAGGAAGCTATTTTCCCCACTCCATCCCTTTTAAACCAAAGATGCAAGAACTATATGAAGACTGTATCTCAAAGAAGATAAACTGTTTATTCTATCTGGAACTTTCCCCTGGGGAATAAAAGGATATCAGTGGTGAAGGGAGGAGACAGCTCACAAGAACAGAAGCAGCACGGGTCAGTTAGGAGCTGTCCCAGCAAAAGGCTGCCAAGAGTGAGCACGTTAAGACACTGCTGGTAGCAAAGCAAGTAGCAAGGGTTCTTTGGCCACAAACAGGGGAGAACAAGTGATGCCCTGCAATGATCACTAACTTAAGATTACTTCTAGTCTTAACCCCAAGAATTAAGCTGATTGCCTGTATTTTCACTAGCAAGGAAAAGAGATGCACATTGGTACACCATGAAAGTTGTTGAGACAGAATTATAGAATCATTTTGGTTGGAAAAGTGTTTTGAGTTCAACCATTAACCTACGACTGCCAAGCCCAGCACCAAACCGTGTCCCTGAAACGGAAAGAAAAAAGGAAGTCACTCCTTTCATCTCAGTTTTGAAGAGAGCTTTCCTCCCCCAAACCAGGAAGAATAGAACTGTGAAACTAGTACACAATGTAACGTGTCTTAGATTCATAAAAATCAGTTGTATGAAAGCAGAGGTAACACCTACAGAGAGCATGAATTCAATAAGACCTTCTGACCTGTTATTAACAGATTATATGAAAGACTTAAAACTGAGTTTTAAAGAAAAGACACAGGAGCAAAAAAGAAAAAAAATGGAGTAAAATGAAAGTCTAGAGTAGTCTAGAGTACTAGACAAACTTAGCAAGTCTTTCTTCAGTAAAGTAACTGATTTTTTTAATACCAAGAAAGTGTAATTCATTCAGCCTAAACTGGATCTCACAGCAATTATATGGCACTGCAAACCTAGTTCAAATGGAACAGATTGTGACTAGTAGGAGAAATGCAGAATGGGTAAACTTACTAAGGAAAAGGATAACAGTTACTGGTTTTGGAAAGACATACTGAGCTAAAAGGATGTCATCAGCAAAGTTCCTCAAGCCAGGCCTTTCTGTTAGTGACTACAGAAAAAATGAAGAGCCCATTGATGAAATAAACAGTAGGAAATCATCCACTGAGAATATATTTGGGACACAGCACAAGTGGTATCAAGTGAAGCAACTAAAAGCCAACAGGACAAAACACAACAAGCCATGAACCTAGTAAGATTATTTGAAATAACTCACTAATGTATTTACTGCCAGGAAAAAAAAAAAAAAAAAAAGGAATGCAGTCTACACACACTAACACTATGCATTTCTGTCACACTTCTAACACAAGTCATCAGCACTGTTTAAAAGGTCTGTGAACTGAGCCCCTATGACCCTGAGGCACATAACGTTCCCTTCCATCCTTCAAATGTAAGGGGCTGGCTGTATTCATAGCAATGTATCACATAATGCAGCAACAAAAAACCTGTAATCCTATAATATATCAGAATAGTATCCAGAAGAGAAAGTGCATACATGCTAGACAGACAATGGTAAGAACAAACTCTTCCACAGCAATACACCATTTTTGCTTCTGATGTTCCAGATAAGTAAATTAAATTGAACAGCTACAGAGAAATGTTTCCACTCATCATGATAATGGCTCAGCTTCTTCAAGTGGACACTAAGGAAAGAGGACCATTCTGTATGCTTGTATAAAAAGATCTTTAGCAGGAAGAGAACTCTCTACCTGAATGCATACAGACAAATGCAAATTAGTCAAAAGCCACATTCAAACTCAAAAACTAAAATTTAGATTCTAATGATCACACAAATTGGTATGCTAGAACAACTTTCTAAAACTAGCAAAAAAGCAAAGTTAACTAATTGTTATTAAAACATACAACCTCTCTCATAAGTGATGTCACTACACCATAGCTGCTCAAGTCAAATCCATCTCCAAGTATTCTCAAGTTTTTGCAGGTTTATGTTCTTTGCTTTAAGGAACTGTCACAGCATGTGTCCATTGTAAGCCAAAAAAATATCTGCAGACTTTCTGCAAAGTTAGAAGAGGTCACTGCAGATTTGGAGGAGTAGAAAGAACACTTAATTTTTAAGACACTTAATTTATAAGCCAGTTTAAGAAAAAAAAAAAAAATCAACAAAGCTTCTACACTATAACAACGGATCAAATGGTAGGAAGACGACAAGAAGTAACTAAATTAAGAGTAAAATGTTTCTATCTTCCTACCACCCAAGTCAGTTATCCATTATGGAACGCTGCATTTGTCTTGAAAGATAAACATATCAATGAAAAAAATCTGACAGATCACCTACCGTAAGGAGGCCTGAAATGATATAAAGCTACACAAGCAGTATTTATAGCTTCTCTTTTTTGAGAGAAAATTTTTCTCAATATACATCCTGAAAACTCAGCACTGCCTTCTACTTATGACTACTAGAACATGATGCTGGCTTTGCTCTTTCAGGATATGCTCTTACGTACTATTCAAGGGTGGAACCTCTTGAAAACCTCA